TGCACGCCTCCTCGTGCAGCCCCAGCCCTGACCCGGCCCTGGCTCCCGGTGGCATGAAGCATGCTGAATACCCCCTATGACTTTTTTAAGTACCCCTAGGAGTATGCGTATCACCGGTTGACAACCACTGAACTACTGCATTGTAGGCTCCTTTTGACGCTGGTGGTAAACAGCTCTAAGGGAGCCAGCTCAACCACAACGTGACTTAAGTGCAATTGCATTCATGGCTGAAGTTGGTTCATGTGATCTTACCAAAGTTAGATCCACTTACACATCACCTCTGGGAGCTGGGGTGGTCTGGGCACTCAGGTGCATGTTTGACAGCCCAGGCTGTGAGTTTGAGGCTATAGTAGAAATGCTTATGGCATGGCCCTGTCAGCTTCTAGTGAGTCTGTGAATTCTGTTAAATACTTTGTCACAAGGACACCAGAAAGGAAGAGACACATCACCTCTAAACTTGGCCCTAAGGGAGTCTACATAACTCCCAAAGGAGGCTGTGTTATCATGACCTCTACCTTTAAGGGACTGAAAGAGGGTGTACTTTACACAGCACAGATCCCATCCTCTGCATATGGTCCTTTGAATGGGGGGCGTTCCTTAGAGCACTGCCTCCCTGCAGCCTTTTTTCAAATCAGCATTTCAATTCTCTTTTTCCTTAGCTAAAGACCAAGCAATTAATTAAATTTGTTCAGTGATTGGCTTGGTCACCACTTGACTGCAACTTAGTTAATCAATCAAAATGTATCTCTCTCCAAGGAAATGAGAGGGAGAGGAAAATTAAACCCCATTTGTTCCTCTGCAATCCAATAATGCTTGTGTCTTTGTGAAGGTAGGAGGAATGACTGATGCATAAACCCTGGGACTGTATGTCATAGAAAGAGATGTTAGGCATGTGCAAAACCCATTAGGCCAGTGTATCCCTCTGTTAATGCAGAATTGCTCCCCACAGGCCCATATGAAGGGTATTTGGCAGAAAGTATTCAGGATGCTGCCGCTATTGATGGGAAGTTGGCATTGTATCACATCTCATAGGTCCATGCTGGAGCAGAGTAGAGAGTCCTGCTTGAGGGCACGCACATCTCCCCACGACTGAAAGGGAGCGCTACACAATATGGAGAAAGGAGTGTTTGGAATAGCAAGACTCCAGCCAGAGACAGGCTCAAGCCAGGTTTAAAGTGTTGAACAGCCTGAAGGTTGGATGTGTTGAGATATGAGGTTTGGTTTGGGCCCAGCTCCACCCTCTTGGCATCCAGCCCAGGAGCCACAGTTTAGTAAGGAATGAATGGGAGAAGTTATATATATAAGCTCCTTGCCTTCTCAAGCAGGAGATTCAGCTTAGACATGGGCAAAGAGACATTTTCTGGCCACAGCCATTCTGCACAGGTTTGACCCCAAAGAGATAACTGCTCCCTGTAACCCCGATGGGTGTGGCAGGAGGATTCCAGTCCTGGCTGTCCAGCAGCTTTCTCCCACAGAGCACCAGGGCTGGCAGAGCTCACTGAGACACAGAGAAAGCAAGTTCGTGGCACCCCTGAACTGTAGCAGAGCTGTTGTGTGTTTAGCTTCAGATACAAAGAAAATATGTGTATGTTCTATGTACCCAAGAGAGTAGCTCTGAATCTTCAGCGCTGCTGTGATCAGTAAATTACTGCTCAGATAATGTTCCTCACCATCACCAAATAAATCAAGTCTTATTTTCCCTCCTTGGCTACAGCTTTATAGGCAGCTCCAGGACTCCTGGTGGTCATAAAACTTCATCCTCTTACTGAAGGGCCTCCCAGATGACTTGTTATTTAGATTTCTTTCTTTCTTCCTTTCTTCAAACCAAGCTTCTCCAAACATTTAAAAGCCTAGGAGCTAGGGAATCACCTTGAAGCTGGCTTGGCCGGTTATTTTTGCTCGTGCCCCTGAGCCATCATTCTATTCCTAGATTGAAATCCAGCTCATAGAAGTATGAGTTGGCTGTAATAAATGCTGGTTTCTATGTTAGTGTGAATATTAGTGTGAATATTCAATCTGCCATGAGGTCAAGGACCTTGAAATATGTTTTTCCTGGAGACCTTTAGATATCACTCCACTTTCCTCAACGCTCAGCTTTCCTTGCTTTTTTCTTCCACCATCCTTCTTCCTCCCTCCCTCCAGCTATTTCATTTTTCTAGCTGCCATGAATAATATATACCTTCCAGCCACGGAGCATGAACATGGAGCAGGCTGCTGACCCTTCCTCAGAGGTGTAAAAACAGCTTTGTTAAAAAGGGATCATTGCTGGGGTCTGGTATAAAAACAAAGTGAATAGAGCCCCACAGAGACTCTCAGCTATGCAGACTGTGAAGCCTACACTGTGCATGAAGCAGCTGTAGCACCAGAGCTTGTTGGTTCACTGCATTCAGTGGAAGCCAACTCCCTGAAATAGCAATTTTGTCTTTCGGGGTGATTTATGTCGCCAAGCCCAGGATCTGCGGAGGGCGTTGCTTCTTCTCTTTTCATAGATTTTTGCCATAGGCAGATTGTTTTTGGCTCCTCTCAGCATGTCCAGTTATGTTGGGAATAGGTAGATTCATAATCCTTGGGAGGGGAAGTGTCATGAGAGCAGTAATAGCCATAACACTTTGATTTCTCCAGCGTTGTTCCAGCCAGAGATCTTCCAGCACTTTGCCTAGGGGGAGAAAAACCGTCACCCCCATGCAACAGAGTGGAGTCGGTAGTAGAAGCCAGGTGCACTGGCAGCACAGTGTTCAGAGGGGCTGGCAGTATGTTTCATCTGTTTTGGGCTAATGCTTTGCAGCCTCCGCTCAGGAGAGGACTAACTCTGTGGGATGCAGTTAGGGAGCTTGGTTACATTGTTCTTTCTGAGGATAGAGCTTGCTGAGAGCCCGTCTTCAACTATAGCCAATCATTTCCCACTCTTATTTTGTGAGCACTACTCTATTTAAAACATTCAGCCCTGGAAGCAGAAAAATGAGTGTCTTGGAGCCATCTCATATGCTCTTTGGGTTATTAATGATGGGATCTAGGGTGGGAAGGTCACATTATGATAGGGCCTAAGCCCTATGTAATGGGCATATCTGTGTCCCCCATCATGAAAATGGTGCCCCAATGGGATGACATGCTGCAACTGATGAATGCAATCAAGATGAGGGTATAGTCCAACTCACCAGTGTGCACTTCTTTGTACAGCCTCCCTCTGCTTCCTGGGGTCTGAGCAGCAGCTGCCCATCTGAACCTTCTACCCCCCTATGCAGAAAGTGCATAGGGTGGGGAATAAACTGAGCTGGGACTTTATCTCATCAACTTGCTGCCTAGCACAATGGGGCCACATGGGAGTGGAAGAGAAATCTGTCCCTGGTCAGAGCTGTTAACAGATGCCACCTCCCTGGGAGGGGGAGTGGAACTGTATCTAACTGAGGCATAACTCCTTCCTTAGCATGGCTATAACTGTGGCTGTGTTGCTGTTTGAATTATCATACCACAGGTATTGTGCATAGGCTTTTTTCTGCCTTCCTTGTACTGCATCTTTGGATAGCATATAAGGGTCAGGCGGTACTGCAGTAGGTGTCAGGGTATAGCCAGCTACAGTGTTGGAACAACCTGACAGTGAATCCCTTGGACTCTTGTTCCTGTTGATCCTCCCTTTGGCAGGATGGAAAATGGGGTTTTGTTGCTTGGATAACAGGAGTGATGGCTTCCAGGTGGCCCCTACCAAGGCCTCCATATTATTATAGGCATACATGGCTCTGCACTCCACTGTATTCCCATAATGCCTTGTGCCATGGCAAGAGGCAAAAAGCGCAGATTAACCAGGGTACACGGATGGCAAACATGAAGCTGTGCCCAAGAGCTTGAGACACCCGTTCACTAAGTGTTATTCCCCCAAAGGTGTGACGTTTTATTTGCTAGTGAGCTGCTTTCTGCAATCCCATTGGCCTCCTCTGTTTTTAACTTGTTTCTTGATGTTGCTCTGTGTGACCAGCGCCCATTTTCCCTGATGCACATGGCTTGGCAGTTGTGTCACTTTGGGTGCTTTGGGGTCAGGGTTGATTCAGTCAACATTTTCTATTAGGAACAGTTTCCAGGTGCTTGTTTGCAGAACCTGTCCTTCCCACTCCAAGGCACGTGATGGGTAAATTTCTACATAGGCTATTTTGCCTGATATTTAGTTGTGATTGAGGGACTATTTAACTGCTCTTGCATTTTTAGTTTCTGCCTATTTGCAGTATTGGTATAAGTCTCTTACCAACATAGTATCTGGGTACCTCAAAGCCATTAATGGATATTACCCTTACAGAAGCCCCAGAAGTATTCTCCTATTCTACAAGGAAAAGGACCTGCAGCACAGAGTGGATTCAGTAAATTACTTCTCTAAAGTTCCTCAGAGGGTCAGCATCCGAGGTAGGAATTGTTGCCAGTTCTCCTGGGTCCCATGTTCTGCATCTATTCTTCTTGAATATCTTTCCTTCCCTGCTCTGGAGGAAGTCGTGATTCTCATTACTGACCAATAGAAGGTGCTGCTTCTACACAGGCACATTGCACATGTGACATGACAGTGGGACTAGAAATCAAATCTGGAAAACAAATGGAAAAGCAGCAACTCCTACATCCATCACAGAGCACCTATGAAACCAGACAGTTAGAGGCAAATGCCCCAGGATCTGCAGCCTCATTGAGAACAAAGCTAACACCCTGGTGTTATCTGTTCCCATTTGAACTTCAGGGACAGCCATACAAAGCTCTAGCACTTTAGTCTGAAATGGCAAAAATCACATTTCTTTCTCTATTCATTCACTCAACTCTGCCCATAGCCTCATAGTGAGATAAACTATTTATTTGGAAGTTTGGGTTGTGACCTAAGCCCACCAGTTCTGGATTGACTTCAGGCTCCACTGAGTAGAAAGGCTTTACAATCACTGAATTGAAGGCATTTTGATTGCTTCCAGGATTATTGCCCAGCATGTTTATTCCTCAAGCAAGGAAGACTTCATAACTCAGGGACTCCCTTCAGTTCCTGACAATGTATATATATTGAAATCTTATAAGAATAATTACCATATCCAATGATATTCTAGTCTTGCCTTGCCAATATAAACAACTTGCTGGACTCTCTGAATTGCATAGGGTCATCCTGAATAACTGCTCGC